GCTTGTGGAGAAAAGTCATTTTTAAAATTCATTATGAAGTTAATGCAGTGATGCGTGCTTGTAATCCCAGTACACTCTGGAGGCTGAGACAGGAGGGTCATGAGTTCAAACAGTCTGGGCAACTTAGCGACTTAACAAGACTGTCCCAAAAATTGAAGGCAGAAAATAAGAAAAGAAGAAAGGAAGAGAAAAGGAAAGGGAAAGGGAAAGGGAAAGGGAAAGGAAGGGAAGGAAGGAAGGAAGGAAGGAAGGAAGGAAGGAAGGAAGGAAAGAAAGAAGACAGATGAAGGAAGAGCTGAGGATGCAGCTAAGTGTGAAGATTCTGAAGTACTCCCCAAGTCAAGATGCTTTTTGCTATTCCCACTTATTTGGAATATATGAATTTATGTGTATATATCTTATGAAATTGGTGTGCTGAATGTACATTTCCTATATTTTTTTACCTTACATTAAAAAATAATTCCTCAAAGCATGATTTCCTAAGCTGTAGTTACCGGTAATTTAAATCTTTTGTGTTTTTGACTATTTGACAGTAATCATATGCTGTCCCTACTAATTTATCTCACCTAAAAACATAGTGCTAAAGCCATAATTTCACTACCCCAAGATCCCTGATAATGTTCCTTTTATTCTGTGTACACTATTGAAATTCTAGAACTGGGACTGTAACTTTTTAAACTCAGTGCTACATCGTGAATATTTTTCTGTTTTTTTAAAAAATTACTTATTTATTCATTTGTGTGTGTGTGTTTGTGTGTGTGTGTGTGGCCAGCTAAGCCCACCAGGGGGCGGGGCTGGCTGGCATGTGGTGCTGGGGGAATTGAACCACCGTCACTGTGTTTTGCTAAGCTTGTTCTAAGTAGGTGCTTTAGACCACTGAGCCATCTCACCAGCCCAAGTTAATTTTTTTTTTTTAAATTTTTGGCAGAACCGGGGATTGAACTCAGGCCCACGCACTTGCCAGGGAAGTGCTTTTTCCACTGAGCCATCTCCCCGGCCCCCTTTTCTGTTATCAAATGTCAAGATGTGATTTTACGGCAGGCATGATGGCGCTCACCTGTAATCCCAGCACTCAGGAGACTGAGACAGGAAGGTTGCCATGAGTTTTAGGCCAACCTGAGCTACATGGAGAGTTCAAAGCCAGCCTGAACCACATAACAAGATCCTGTCTATAAAAACAAACAAAAAATACAGCCCTCATGGAAATATGGAAAAAAATTAAAACTATCAATAAGAACAACAATAAATAAAGTGATTTTCTAGCAACAGTGCTGGGTATGGAACCAAGGGCCTCATGGGAAATAGGCAAGGGCTCTGCCACGGTCAGCAGCCCACGAGCTGGCATTTGATGGCTTCATAGTGGCCTGCCTTGTGGGTCCACCCCAGTGTATCGTACCAGCGTTCTATAATGCTGTGCTCTTTCCTGTGCACCTCTCCCCTCCTGGCCCTCGTCTTTCTTTCCTTTTTTGCTACTGGGATTGAATTCAAGGCCTCTTCACAGAGCTACATCCCCATCATTTTCAATTTTTATTTTGAGATATTTAGTTGCCCAGGCTGGCTTTGAACTTGCAGTCCTCCTGCCTCTGCCTCTCAATAGCTGGGGTATCTGGCATACACTGCCACACCAGGCCTACACCCTGAAATTTTAATGGGTGAACAAAGTAAAAGTTTACTCTCAACAACTTTTTCAAGCAGTGACTCAGAGATCTTCCTGTCCATCTGTGATACAGCCACCTTGAACCTGCATCCTCTGAGGGAGCAGGGGAAAGAAGCCCCAGGATGGGCAGGCTGCTTGCCAGACTCAAAGGCAGAGCAGAAGCCCTGCCTCTGAAAACCAAGAGTCGAGTTAAAGGGTAAAAGACAAAATGACACCATGGAGACCCAGTGAGTCAGAGTAACACTGGCACCTAGTGGACCGGCAGCCTCAGGAGGTCTGCAGGACAGACTTCTCTGCTGTTCTGAGCATACATCGTATTGGGATGGGCTGTTTCTCTAACACAGCAGTCTCAGTAGTCAGATTATCCTCACATTAGAGACAAGCAGATTCTACCGCAGTCTGCCTGGGGGCAACTGGGCAGCTAGTGCCAGCGAACTCTTCCTCCCTGCTGGCTCCCTGCTGGCTGCATAAGAAACTCTTCACAGATTTAAAAAGTAGTGTGCTTGTACCTGCAGCTTTGCTTCCTGGCTGCACACTTCTTTCCCTTGGGGACCCCCCACCCCACCCCCATGGCTACAGGACCTTATGAGGGAAAGAGTGGCCCTCACCATACGCCCCTGTCTGGGCAGTGACACAAAGAGCTTGTCTCAGATTTTCTTCAGTGCATCATTGGTCCTTTGGAAAACCCTTGTCCCTTGTGAGTTGGATTGGACAGGACAGGGTAGCGGTGTGGCCTGCAGCCAGGAAGCCTGTGGTGATTGGCTGCAGCAGCAGAGGAGCAGGAACACAGGCCTCCAGCCTTGCCAGTTGGGTAGTAGTAGCTTGAGGTGACACCCAGAGACCGAGGCTGTGGGAAAGATGAGATTTTATTTACCTACATACATACAGGCTGACATCAGAGTGATAGCAAATATCTGAAGGGGAATCCTAGTATGTATAGGATTTATGGATTGGGACTGGAATTTCAGAGTCCAGATGAAGTGAAGTCAAAACTACATGGAAAGTCGGTACAGGTGCGTAGATAGAACTGGCACCAGTAAGACGTCAGGTCCGGTCCTAAATTTCTTTCTGGAGCTTGCTTCTTGCTTACCAGGGCCACCTATTGTTTCCCATGGTTTACAAGGTGAGACGGGGTTTCTCAGGTCAGGCCTGACAACCACCTACCCATATATTGCACAACCCTTAATGTCTGGGCAGTGGCTTCCTAGAGAACCAGGGGTGGGCTGTTTTGCATTTGGAATAAGAATTTTTTTTTTGTTCCTCGAATGCCTTCAGGGCACTTTTGGCCAGCGGGAGAGTTGTGAGGTTCGAACTCCAGTAACCTGAGGCTGACAGCTGTGTGGAAGCAGCCACTTAAAGGCCTGAGCTAGGGCCAGGCCTCTGGCTGTTTTGCATTTGAATCATTTTCTTTTCTTTATAAAATTTATTAAGTATAATCAATGAATAAATGCAGATTTTCCATGTGTGTGGTTGTCTGAAATGGCTGATGAGATGTTAAAAAAATCTAGATTGGGGCTGGGGAGATAGCTCAGTTGAATAAGCTCTTGCCTGGCAAGTGCAAGGGCCT